AAATCAAAGTAGCCTGGCTCTCAGTTTCAGTCAAGATTCTTTTAGGTGTTACCATAGAAGGATATGACTACACAACCAAGAAATTCAAATTCAACTTGCATTGGCAGGACCAACATTTTGCTTGGCAAAAATAGTCACTTACAGAGTGCTAAAGGTTAAATAGGATACATTCAGGGCAATCTCTGCATACATTTCTAATTTTTTCTGTTGAATAAGGTAACTTTAATAAAGTGAGAAAATCTTGAGTGACAAAGATAAATACGTAGGTCAGACAATTTCTTACTACTTATAGAGGCCATGATGAAGCATGTCTATGAGAATGTTATTTTTAGTGGGTCTGTAAACTATATCATATTCTTAACATCCCTACTCTATTTGCCAACCTTGAACTTTAATATTCTTTTTTTTTACTCAGTCTTTTTAATCTCTATCTATAAAAGGCAAGGTGTGTGTGTGTGTGTGTAACAAATGCATGGCCACAATTTTCAATGGATTTGCACCAAAATTTACATGCACATGCTCCAAGTTAGCGGGAAGGCCAAAACCGACTTTGCATTTCCCAACTCCTATCAATAATGGAAATAATCGATTTTTTTCATGCTTCTATGGCAGTTTCATGTAGTTTGAAGCCATTTTCTACTGGCCAGAGTGAGAGCCTATAGCTGACTGCCATGAATAGGCAGGAAGATTCTATTGGACAGTGTGAGAGCCAACAGCTGACTGACATGAATGTTAACTAGCATGTTAGCATGCAAAAAAATTGATAGCTGCATTCATCACAAGTGGGAAAAATTTAAATCTGCATGGCACTTTACTCCAATTGGATCATTTGCTTGTTTAAACTCAATGTTGATTCTGATTCCGCAGAATTGGGTTGGGTGTGAAAAAGTATTTGTTGTTAACATTCTTTTTCATTCGGTTTTTCCAGTTACGAGTCCTTTTAAAGCTGATCATTTTGTGTTCATTTTGTTTAGTTCTTTTTTCATAACAGATTTAATGTTTAGTATAGAGTTGAGAAAAAATTCGTAGTGTGAGATAGGCAAGAAGTAAGGCATGTAGCAACATAAACACGGCAAAGGACACTCTTTTAAAGGCAAGGAAGGGCAAAAATATTTTAAGTCAAGTGATAGCGATTGCTGTATGAGTCGTACGATTTTTGAATCAAGCATGGACAACGCCAGGCCATGCTGCTAGTTAAACATATAATTGACAGCTTGTTGGTCTGTGACGATGGCAAAATATATTCCTATAAAAAAAAGTGAGACCTTTTTAACACCCATTATGACAGCTAAGTATTGACATTCAGTTTGGGATAGGGTTCTCAAAGAGAAAGTGATAGGCCTATCAGCTTGATTAAGTGAAGCTGTTAGAACTGTGTAAGAGGCATCGGTCCACTTGACTATAGAAATATTATTATCATTGGAGTACAAGAGAGCTTTGCTGATCTTTTTGTTTTTAAAAAAATCTCCCTGCAAGTTTCCTTTGCCTTTGAATTGAGGGGGAAAGATGCGTTAGTTATTAGATATCCATTGTAGGGAAAGAGACCACTTACACATTGCAATCGTCTTTATGGATCAGAAGTTTTTCTAAAAGGAGCAAATGATTCAGGTCTTATTGATCCTTGGCTAATCAGATATCTGAGTAATGTGAGAGTGTCAGTCAACAATACTTTTGTCTTTGTTCAAAGTTAAATGATGTTTTCTTATTACCCTCATGAAGTATTTTAGATTAAGGTCATGTTCCTCCTTTGTTTTATCACACTGTCATATTGTCCATGTAAGTAAACATTGTAAACAGTCCTTCTAAGAAAATTAGGTTATTAATAACTTTGGAAGCAAGCAACTCCACTAATAACCTTGAATATTATATGACAAAAGTGATATAGTTGGTCATCAGCTTCAAAGCCAATATATATTTTTACAGAGTCTTTAAATGGTATCTGATGGAATGCACTTTTCAAGTCCAGGGTTCTGAAGTGGTTATTTCCGTATCGTTATTTATTATTAGAGAGTAGTCCACCATCATCATCCAGAATTAACCAGAGCTTGGGCCATCCATGAGGAGTTGCTTGGTTTGATAGTTCCTCCTTGTAAAAGTTTCTTAACTTCAGAAACAATGAAGGCTTTATCAGTGTTAGAAAAGCAACAGGATTTTACCACGACAATCATGAGTAAGGTAGATAAACAGGGGTTTGGACATTCAAGACTAAAAAGACCACACAGTCAATTCAGGACCTGCTGAAATGAGCAGATATGTATGAAATGCTGCTGTAGAAAGTTCTGACCCAGTATTTGTTATTTTAATCATTTCACTCCAAGCAAGGCAGCAAAGCCACTAAGACATGAGGGTTAATTAGTGTGAAAGAATATAAGAAAAAGAAAAACAGAACAATAAATAAGCAGAAATTAAGAACACAGAAGATAACAATTGACATTGCATTTAAATTTTTGAATATCAAACTTGACTGGGAAGCAAGAAGCTGGAAGAGAGTTCCACAAGC